GTCTGAAATTCAGATTGGTTCGGGCTTCGGATTCGGACGAAATCCGAATTTTCGTTAGTTTCGGATTACTTTACGAATATTTGTTGCGAATAAACCACATAAAGCCATTTACAGATATTAATACTAAAGCTGAATCTCCTAGACCAGGATCTGAATTTCTTAATTGCATCCGGGAGCTCCCATTCGGGTCTAGGAGCCATATACATATATTACAAAAGCTGAGGCTCCAATGCAATTGCGAATGCAATTCAGGAAATTTGGATCCCGAATGCCATTCGAGTCTAGGAGCCTCAGCTTTAGTATTATACCGGTATGTATATGGCTCCCAGACCCGAATGGCATTCAGGATCCGAATTTCCGAATTGCATTCGGGTCTAGGAGCCATATACATATATTACTAAGGGTGAGATTCCAATGCAATTCAGGAATTTGGATCCCGAATGCCATTCGAGTCTGGGAGCCATATACATATATTACCAAAGCTGAGGCTCCCAGACCCGAATGCCATTCGGGGGCTCCTGAACGCAATTCGGAAATTTGGATCCTCAATGCCATTCGGGTCTAGGAGCCTCAGCTTTATATGGCTCCCAGACCTGAATGGCATTCAGGATCTGAATTTCCGAATTGCATTCGGGAGCTCCCAAGTGCCATTCGGGTCTAGGAGCCATATACATATATTACTAAGGCTGAGGCTCCAATGCAATTGCAATTGGAATTGCGAATGAGGAATTTGGATCCCGAATGCTATTCGGGTCTGGGAGCCTCAGGTTTAGTATTATATGTATATACTGTATATGACTCCCATGTTGCTGTAACAAAAAGTTGTGTTATTATTAACATACAGGATTTATATAGCGCCAACAGTTTGCGCAGCGCTTTACAATATAAGGAAGACATTACAATACCATTCAAGACAAGATGGTAAGGAGGGCCCTGCCCCTGAGGGCTTACATTCTAAAAGGGAGGGGCAAGTGATACATGAGGAGGTAGCAGTGTGGGGATGGATTATTTCTTCAGACCCATTCAGATGTTTGTTCAGACCCATTCGGATGCATTGAACCGAACAAACATCTGATTCTCCAGAAAAGTTACATGTCCGATTCAGTTTAGTTTTCTAACTAAATTTAGACGGGATTCGAAATTCGGAAATGGAAATTCAGATGCAGTCGGGTGAATTGGGATTCAGGAATTCGGATGCGTTGGAATTTCGAAAACGAATCTGAATTTTGATTCGGAACAAAACGAATCGCACATGTCTAGTCCTTTTGAATCTGTAGAGATCATACAGTACAGGTGAAGTTGCCATATAATATTGAAGCAATGCTTCCAGGTACAATGCCGCGTATGTACAACTCTTCAGTTATATTATTCTTACACATATGTTGCTCCCATTAGGATCTAGATTCCAGGCAGATATAAAGTACACAAATGAATGCAGCTCTGTATTTATTATTACATCATGAAATACATATTGTTTCAAATGCAATGAATGTAAATACCTGAATTTGACTTAGAATAAGCCTCTTGCAATCAATGTACAGCAGAGCTCAGAGAGGGAGAAGCAGCACAAGGAGCCAATCAGTTGAGCTGCAGTGCTCGTGTGTTAACAAAAGCATGCTAATAGGAGGAGAGGGTGGAGGGACAGGGAGATGTGCTCATCAGTGTTCTGCGTTTCCTTTCACTGTCCAGTCACAACCTGGGGGGAGGGACAAGCCCTGTAGGCGTTACTTGACCATGAACTCCGGATTAAACAAAAAACGCCTAAATACAAGAGTCATGTGTATGTCTTCCAGATCTGTGCAGTAATCCGGTGTGAGACTTTCCTCTGTGTAGGAGCTTCCTGTAATAAAGACCGGTCACTGCTGCTCTCTCTCCTTGTGCAGGGTGACAGGTTTTTTCTCCGCCCCCTCCTGTAATAAAGACCAGTCACTGCTGCTCTCTCTTCTTGTGTGGGGTGACTGGTCTTGTCTCCACCCCTCCTGTAATAAAGACCGGTCACTGCTGCTCTCTCTCCTTGTGCAGGGTGACTGCTCTTGTCTCCGCCCCCTCATGTAATAAAGACCAGTCACTGCTGCTCTCTCTCCTTGTGCAGGGTGACTGGACTTGTCTCCACCCCCTCCTGTAATAAAGACCGTTCACTGCTTCTCTCTCTCCTTGTGCAGGGTAAATGCTCTTGTCTCTGCCCCCTCCTGTAATAAAGACTGGTCACTGCTGTTCTCTCTCCTTGTGCAGGGTGACTGGTCTGCTCTCCACCCCCTCCTGTAATAAAGACCGCTCACTGCTGCTCCCTCTCTTGTGCAGTGTGACTGGTCTGGTCTCCACCACCTCCTGTAATAAAGACTGGTCACTGCTGCTCCCTCTCTTGTGCAGGGTGACTGGTCTTGTTTCCTCCCCCTCCTGTAGTTTTCTATAGGCAGCCCGTAGTGGGTTGGGCTGCTGGGTCACCCCCAAAGCTCCGTTCTCAGCACAGGCTATGTACACCAGTGATTAGGCCACAGCTACGTTTACAAGTATTATCTGGGTTTGCAAAGGCATTCGGCATGTGCAAAGTGGTTTAATATCCTTTGTGGCTATTAACAAATATATAATAAATGAAAATATTTAAATTTTTTAGGGCCACATGCAGCCCATTGGTGCTTGCTGTGACAGCCCTTTGCAGACACCAGCAGTGAGTAGTAGAAGCATGTATTTGTAAAGAGATTATAATGACAGCGATTTTTGAAGCTGCCCATACACTAGTCAAATTCTGTCTCTTTTTCAATCGAATTTTATCGAAGATTGCAGTCCAAAAAAATCTCAACAGAACAGTGATTGCAGCCAATCTGCTGCAGTCACTGTTTAGGTATTCTGACAGTGCACACCTACTGCTAAATAAAATAATTTGGTGGTGGGAAAATAGTAGCTGTTATCTGGGGCAATTAAAAGTGTTTTCTCTATCAGTCTGCAGGCTTGAGCAAGAAAAACAAATGCCGGTGTATGGCCAGCTTAACAGTCTCAAGTAGCATGCCCCCAGTCTCTGACTATCCATTATAGCAGGGGTGGGCAACTCCAGTTGCTGTGGAACTACAAGTCCCATGTGACCTTGCAAGACTGACAGTTACAGGCATGACTCCCAGAGAAAGATGCATGTTGGGATTTGTAGTTAAAGCACAGCTGGAGGATTTGAGTTACCCGCCTCTGCGTAATAGGGTTTTTTTAGTCCCCAACCACCCCTATTGCATGCATGCATTCTCTAATCTCCTCTAACATGTCTGAAGTCTCTGATAGTCTTCTGCCAAATACTGAATATTATATAGGGCTGCAGCTAATGATTATTTTCATAATCGATTAGTTGCCTGATTTTTTTTTCAACTAATCGAATGGTTGCATTAAAATAAATCTCTCTCTCTCTCCTAACCGATAATAAGAATAGTTGCCAATTACTCTCATAATCGATTGAATTGATTAGTTGTCGCAGCCCTAATATTATATGCAACCCTTTGGAGCTGTCAGGGGCCACAGTTGAGACCCTCTGCACATTGTAAGTTGACAGCTGGAGGGCTTGATTTGCCCACCCCTGCATTATAGGGTGTCTGCAGTCTCCAACCACCCGTTGCATGTCTGCATTCTCTAATCTCCTTTAATACATCCTCCTGCATCTCCTACAATACTGAATATTATATGCAACCTTTTGGTGCTGTCAGGGGCCACAGCTGAGACCCCCTACATATTGTAAGCTGGAGGGAGTGGCTCACCCCGACCCAAAAGCTGCTGTGGAACTACAAGTCCCACGAGGCATTGCAAGACTGACAGTTACAGGCATGACTCCCAGAGACATGTTGGAATTTGTAGTTAAAGCACAGCTGGAGGGGAAGGTGTTACCCGCCCCTGCAATATAGGGTGTTTTCAGTCTGCAACCTCCCCTGTTGCATGTCTGCATTCTCTAATCTTCTCTAGTATGTCTGAAGTCTCTGATAGTCTTCTGTCACATGCTGAATATTATATGCAACCTTTGGAGCTGTCAAGGGCCACAGCTGCGACGCACTACACATTGCAAGTTTCCAGCCTCCTACATATTGTAAGTTTCCAGCCTCCTACATATTGTAAGTGTCCAGCCTCCTACATATTGTAAGCTACCAGCCTCTTACACATTGTAAGTTTCCAACCTCCTACACATTGTAAGTTTCCAACCTCCTACACATTGTAAGTTACCAACCTCCTACACATTGTAAGTTACCAGCCTCTTACACATTGTAAGTTACCAGCCTCTTACATATTGTACGTTTCCAGCCTCCTACATATTGTACGTTTCCAGCCTCCTACATATTGTATGTTACCAGCCTACTACATATTCTAAGTTTCCAGCCTCCTACATATTGTAAACTACTAGCCTCTTACACATTGTAAATTACCAGCCTCTTACACATTGTAAATTACCAGCCTCTTACACATTGTAAGTTTCCAGCCTCCTACATATTGTAAGTTTCCAGCCTCCTACATATTGTACATGTCCAGCCTCCTACATATTGTAAGTTTCCAGCCTCCTGCATATTGTATGTTACCAGCCTCCTGCATATTGTATGTTACCAGCCTCCTGCATATTGTATGTTACCAGCCTCCTACATATTATAAGCTAGCAGCCTCCTACACATTGTAAGTTACCAGCCCCCTGCACATGTAAGCTAGCAGCCTCCTACAAATTGTATGATACCAGCCTCCTACATATTGTAAGCTAGCAGCCCCCTACAAATTGTATGTTACCAGCCTCCAACATATTGTAAGCTAGCAGCCTCCTACACATTGTAAGTTACCAGCCTCCTACACATTGTAAGTTGCCAGCCTCCTACTCAGTGTAGGTTGACAGCCTCCTGCACATTGCAAATTGACAACCACTGCCATGAACAACAGGCTTGAAATTGCCCCTTTTAGACTTGTCCTTAGCCCTAGTAGATCAAGCCTCCTTCTTTCTCTGCACACCCCATGCAAGTGCTGAGAGGATTTATTTCATAGCTATGGAAGAGAAGAGCTGAGCAAGTACTGCTGCCTCCTGGGTGATGTCTGAGGATTTGCTTGCAGTCAGAAGGATCCTGCCTGCCACCTATCTGCCGCACAGCACAGAGAAGGGAAAGTGAATTCCAGGACAGCCAGCTTGTCTGTTTCTCAGCATGCAGTAGTAATGAGAAGCAGGAAAGCGAGAAGAGCCGGAGACACACACACAGAGGAATAGGGGGGGAGAGAGAGGAGCACATCTGCACGGGATCTGCTAAGCTAAGCCAAGCCTAGCAAGCAGCGAACCTATGCATCCAGAACCTGGATCTCGAGGCTGGTGACCCAGAAACTCCACTGGATCTGCAACTATGACAAGGAGGGAGGGACACTGATCTGGAAGGGCTGTGACTAGGCGAATTGTAACAGGAAGGGGAATTTTTTTTTTTTTCTTCCTCCAGATCTGCTGGAGTCCAGCCTGCTTCGCTGAAAGAATGGAAGCACTGGCAGGTAAGGGCTTGCAAGCAATGGGTGATGTGTTAGGCTTGACCATGTCTATATGCAATGAATAGGGGATTCAGTTCCTTGCAGGGGTGGGGCAGAAACCTACCCCCCCCCCCTCCTTCTTTTCTATCAGATGCTTGCTGTAGGGGGGTTTAACAAGGAGGCATAGTCTGTAATCAGAGAGGATGGCAGAGTCCTGTGCCCAGCAAAGCCTACTGGCTGGGGAAAGGAGAAGTAAGGATTTTAAAAAAAAAATAATTATATGGTTTTGAGAACAATGGGGCAGCAACTGTATGTTGTGCCAACAGTGGTCTAATTAGGATGTCAAAAGAAAGCAGCAGCCCACAGACAGTAATCCATGTGTACCAGGAGCTGGCATCCCAGCTGCAGAGCCAGCCACCACAATCTGCAGATCCCTATGTAGGCTCCTTACTCCGGGCTGCCTTCAGGTGCAGGAGCTTCAATGATCAGAGTCTCCCCCACCTTCTCTAGCGTATGTGAGCCTTGCAAAAAGGGGGGATCTGAGGCTTGCTGCCGCTGAAAGCACCTTAAAGACTAGGAGGGCAGGTCATGGCAATTTCAGCAGGATCCGGCTATCCATTGATGGAGAAAGAGGGGGGGAATCCATGCAGCATTACTACTCTGATGAGGAGACCACCTACAGTCAATCCCCCATTTAATGATCCAATGCTGCAAGGGAAGCGCTGTCTGTTGGATGGAGTCATGGCTCATCTGTAATGATGTGACCTAAATTTTTAGAGCCTGTTGCCCTAGTCTCCTGCTGGCAGAGGCACTGTGCAGGAATTTCTGTACCTGCTTCATATGACACTGCATAATAGCATATGGTACTGTAGCACAAGGCTGACCATAGTGTCAATGCTGAAGAAAGGAGTGGGGGTGCATCTAGTCTGAATATGCTCAACATAGCAGGTAAGGTTATGACAATATTGACTTACTAATTGCTGCCTGGACGTATTCAATAATCTACGAGCTTTGTCATGTGTAGCTGTTGTGGAACCTTAGTAAATAGACTTTTTGGCACGCTGGCACGAGATAAATATCTCATTCTGTTATCTTTTCTTCCAATGTGGCAATATTCCAGAGCTGTGAATGTACACCCTTATTAATATTGATGTTACTGTACATATATGGCCATGCAATTTTGTTATATAATGTGTTTTGAATTGCGTGATTGTATGTATATTGCCGCAGATATAAAGCATGCCCACCGTATCAAACTGTAGATATGCAACAGATATTGGAGCATTGGGCTAGTCGTATTTTGCATGCGTTGGCTTTTGGAATTGAAAACTGCTCATGCATAGCCCTAGGTCTGTGGTCTTCCCTGTACTGTAATGCCAGTTTAGGTATGCTGTGTCTTGGTGCAGTGATTGCAGCCTGAATGCCATCTGTTAACGTTGCCCTGTGAAGTGCAGGAAGAGTTATATGCCAATGGTGCTGCCAATTACTTCTGTAGCCTTTATAGGTGGAATGTGATGGTGCTTTCATGCAGATCTGCCTATTGCTATAGTGAGCTGTCCATGGTGCTGAAATGTTTCTCACTCTCCAGGCTAGGCATACAGCATAGCCCAATACACTGCAGGATCCTACAGCTGCTTTCAAGCTTGTGTTTGGAACATTTTATATCAAGATCAGTGGATATCACCTGTAGCATTTTGCCACTGAGTGCCTATTCAGCTTAGTTAGACCAGCAACCTGTAGCCTGTTCCGCCAGAGAGCTTCGCATGCAGTCCTAAAGCCCTTCACTGTTTTTCATTGCTTTCAATTTTGCATCTAGAAGCCAATAGGAAAGACCTTTTTTTTGGTAAATCTGCATTTTCTAAATTGATAAATATATGTAGCATCAGCTATCATTCCTGCTGTAGGATAATGTTGGTCGTTCCTGAATTTAATGTAAGCAAGATAAGTTGCTTACTCTTTGAGTATATCCATTAAAAGGCTGCAGTTAATAATGTCAACAGGATGTGTCAATATTTCAACTTAAATGTAGGATATGTCAATATTTTAG